TGGCTGTCAAACTCAGTGGGCTCAAAACTTGGATCCACCATGCTTGAGTATGTCACTGATACTCAAATACCAGCAGGGTCACCCATGGTGGACAGGTTTCAGCTGAGCTTCTAGGCTAAGACAGACTAGGAAGAAGGACCTGGCAGTCTACTTCCGAAGAAGAATTAGCCAGTGAAAACCTTACGAATAGCAGTGGAACATTGTCTAATACAGTGCCAGAAGATGAGCCCCTCAGGTTGGAAGGCACTCAGAAGATGACTGGGGAAGAGCTGCCTCCTCAAAGTAGAGTCGACATTAACGAGGTGGATGGAGTTAAGCTTTTGGGATCTTCATTTACTGATGTGACATGACTCAAAAAGAGAAGAAACAGCTGCAAACAACCATTAATAATAGCAGTGTGGAATGTGTGAAGTATGAATCTAGGAAAATTGGAAACTGTTAAAAATAGAATGCATAAACATTGATCTCCTATGCATCAATGAGCTGAAATGGACTGGTCTTGGCCATTTTGAATCAGACAATCATATGGTATACTATACCGGGAATGACAAATTGAAGTGGAATGGCATTGCATTCATCATCAAAAAGAACATTTCAAGATCTATCCTGAAGTACAACGCTGTCAGTGATAGCATAATATCCTTACGCCTCCAAGGAAAACCGGTTAATAAGAATATTATTCAAATTTACCCACCAAACACTAATGCCAAAGATGAAGAAACAGAAGATTTTTACAAACTTCTGTAGTATGAAATTGATCAAACATGCAATCAAGATGCATTGATAATTACTGGCTATTGGAATGTGCAAGTTGGAAACGAAGAAGGATTGTTAGTTGGAAAATACGGCCTTGGATAGAAACGACACTGGAGATCGCATGATAGAATTTTGCAAGACCGATGACTTCTTCATTGCAAGTACCTTTTTTCAACAACATAAATAGAGTCTATACATGTGGACCTCACTGGATGGAATACACAGGAATCAAATCGACTACATACGTTGAAAGAGAAGAGGGAAAAGCTCAATATCATCAGTCAGAACAAGGCCAGGAGCTGACTGTGGAACAGACCATTATTTGCTCTTGTGTAAGTTCAAGTTCAAGCTGAAGCTGAAGAAAATTAAAGAAGTCTGTGAGAGCCAAAGTACAACCTTGAGTATATCCCACCTGAATGTAGAGACCATCTCAAGAACAGATTGTATTCCTTGCAGGCCTATGGATATTATCCTATCACTGACAGTGTGCGTGTGTGCGTGTGTGTGTGCGTGTGTATGTTTGTGTGTACATATATATATATATCATTCAAGTAGCCTTAGTTATCTGCATGAAACCAAAGCATCCTCCCTAACAATGCCTACACATTAACCTTTCATTTCCAATCTAATACCAAGTCTTAATGCTTCTTTTCTCCAAATCTCGCTCAATTCAGTATATTTCCCTCCTTTTCTATTTTATAACCTGATCAAAGGTACAATTGTCTCTTCCCGAACTATGGTCATAGTTGATCTCCCCATAGCCAAATTGGCCTCCTCAGATTTTTCTTCCACACAGAATCCAGAAGGATCATTTCAAAATGCAAATCTAGAGTCAATTCCCACTATGCAATGAAAACTACAGGACACTACTGCAAGAAACCAAAAGAGACCTGCATAAGTGGAAAAACATACATTGCTCATGGATAGGAAGACTCAACATTGTGAAAATGTCAATTCTACCCAAAGCGATCTACAGATACAATGCAATCCCAATCCAAATTCCAAAGGCATTTTTTAATGAGATGGAGAAACAAATCACCAACTTCATTGGCAAAGAGAAGAGTCCCTGGATAAGTAAAGCATTATTCAAGAAGAAGAATAAAGTGGGAGGCCTTACACTACCTGATTTTAGAACCTATTATACCATCATGGTAATCAAAACAGCCAGATACTGTAGAGTCAATTCCCTGCTTAAACCTTCCGATACTTTCCAATTTCTCTTGAAACAAAGACATAATGTTAATCGTATTCTACAATGCCTTGCATTGTCTGTTTCTCAGATAGCATCTCATATCCTCCCTGGCTATTCTCTGCACTCCAGCCACACTGGCTTTCTTGCAAGTCCTCAGGCAGGTCAATACCTTCTGCTACAAGGTCTTTTCACAGGGTGCTTACTCTGACGGAAGAGACTTTTCACTCCCGTTCATTTTTCAGAGATTAGCTCAAAGGTCACTTCCTTGAGACAGCCTCTTCTAACTCTAATTCCAACATCTGGCCTATATTAGGGTCACTTGACACATGCTCTTTAATGAATTTCTTCCACTTATTTCAGTTCATTACATTTATTAGTTTGCTTTTAAAAAATATCTACTCCCCTCATTATGGTATAAACTTTATAAACATTTGAATTATACAAATCCACTGTTATATCTCCAGGACATAAAAGAGTTCCTGGTACCTATTAGGAACTCCATGGATATTTAATGGATGGATGGATGGATGGATTGATGAATGACATGTTGGCTCGTCACAACCATAATAGGGTTGTATAATGTGGCTTTGGTCCCTCAGCTCTATGTCTAAATTATATTTCATTATGAAAATCCAATTTTCAGTCCTGATTTGAAAAAGACCATGTATCAGGATGGCCACGTTCAATTATTTAATGCACTACCAGGCAGAAGAGCTGGTAAGAAATTATTGGGTGTTATTCTCAATATAATTGGAACAGTTCTGGGCTGAAGTAACAGGCAAGAGAGAAGAATGATTTAATTATTAGCACTGTCTAAGAGTAGAATGAGCTGTCTTATGAGGTAGTATGTTCTCTGTCAATGGCATTCAAAGGGCAGGAAGTGATTGACTATCTGTCAGGGATATTATAGAAAGATTTCTGCTTTGGTGAAGTAAAACTAATCTTTCAGTGGTAAGTTAGTTCCATGAAACAGACGTTTAAAGAAGGTAATGTCCCTTTTCTGTATTGACCATATATGAGAGAAAATAGAGACAGGAGAGTTCAAGGGAATCAACATACCATTCTATTACATCTTATCAGCCATTTTCAGCTCACCCATAGTGACACCTAGGACATGTTTGTGGAAGAGTATATCTCCTCATACAGATAAATTATTGTGTTGTTGTTAGTTATTGTCAAGCCTATTCTGACTAACGGTGATTCTATGTGTGCAGAGCAAAACTGTGCTCCATATCCATAGAATTTTCAAGGCTGTGACCCTTCAGAAGCAGATCACCAAGCCTGTGTTCCAAGGTGCTTCTGCATAGGTTCGAACCTCCAACCTTTCAGCTAGTAGCTGAGCGCTTAACCATTTGTGCCACCCAGGGACACACCCAACAGATGAATGGATAAGTAAAATATGTCATACACATACAATGGAATATTACTCAGCCATAATGAGACATGAAGCCTTCATAACATGCTGTGACATGAATGAACCTTGAAAACATTAGGTTGACTGAAATAAGTTAGTAACAAAAGGACACATATTGTATGATCCCACTTGCATGAAGTAGGCAAATATCTAGAGATCAAAGCTTATTGGTAGTTACCAGGGGTGGGAAGGAGGAGGAAAGGGGGAGTCATTGCTTAGGGGGGACTGAGTTTCTGTTAACGGTGATAGAATAATCTGGAAGAGGATAGTGATATGGTTGTACAACATGATGGACATTATCGATGTCACTAAATTGCACATGTGAAAATTGTTGAATTGGCATATGTTTATTTATATATGTTTTTACCACAATAAAAATAAATAAATAAAAGTTTTTTTAAATAAACATTGCATTAGGGGAAATCTGGTGCTACACTGGCCAGGGAGAAAAATAAATGATTGATTTGGGGAAAAATAGAAGATATTTCTAAATACCTTCAGCCTATGTTTGCCAGCATCCCTAAATTCCTGCCTCTTGTCCCAGAATCAGAAAAACACTTACTTAGAGGAATGTGAGTTACTTTGGAGCAATTATGTGTGGTTACTGCCACCTGGAGGCCATGTCTAAGAGCTGCACCTTCCCTAACACCAGGAAAATATAGCGCATGATGCAATCGTTCCGTTCTCTGAATTGCCGATGGCAGCACACCATTTACATCTGTATAATACTATAGTGCTTTATATCTGCATTTACACGGTCTTGCTTAACCTTCATAGAAATCATGTGGGAGAAGTCATGTTACCCGTGTTGTACACACACACATACACATGCAAATACTATATAAAACCTGTCAGTAAGTTTTGCTTTCTAATAGAGTTTAACTTAGAATCCTAAAATTGTTGCATTTGGAGGCATTCATTTGGGAGAGCCCGTGGTGAGCTGATTCCTTGTTGGCCCTTTTTAATGTCAATTGTCCTTAGGAGGAAAATCGGGGATGTAAACCAACTGCAGACACTTGAGATGGAGCTGTTCAGTGCTTTGTTTAATCATATAAAAATAGTCTTTGTCGTGAAAATTAATATTATCACCAGTAGCAACATAGAGAGAAGACGAGACAAGCCCTGAGTCAGAGGAAGAGAGAATATGGGAAAAGATGACTTCCACTCAAGAAAGGAGGATTAGCTGGGACCTTATAGATTGGGGCCAAGGAGAAGGATAGCTAGCCTTTGTGGAGAAGCAAATGTGCCTAATACTCCAGCTTAGGGTTTTTTTTTTTTCAGTGCTGTAATTCCTTTATGTTATCTGCAAGACTTTGGCAAAATTTGAAGAACATTGCATACTTGTGTAAGCTGTGCTTTGGGAAGTTAACATAGAAGTCCTGTGTCCATGTTCACTGCAAAGCAGACTGGAGGCAAAGATAGGGCAAAGTGAAAAGATTATGAGGTGGTAAGTGGTAAACCTATGGGTTAGAACAAGAGATGACAAATACTGGAATAGATCTGTGGAATTTGTAACAAACACTTCGTAGCAATTCTCAGTGAAAAGAGACAGAGGGGAGGTGCACCAAGTTAGCAAACTAATTCCAGCAACATGCACTGGCTATTAAATCGTTGATGTTATGAAATAAAATGACTAGATTAGATAGCAAAGTGACTGAAAGGAGAGAATATTTCCATGTTACCTTTTTCCTTCTCTTCCTGCAGACTTTTCGCCACATGCATATAATTCAACTTCAAGATATATAATCTTCATCACAGCAGAGACTATGCCAGCCTTTTGAATCATCAAGTTAGCTACCTCAGCCCTATTTGCCTTTTCTAGCTTGCCTGTGGACATCTTCAACTCATCTGGAAGAAAGAACTTAAACCTATGGAACTCACCATCAGTGATGTTATCCAGTCCAATTAACAAAAAGATTTCCTTGTATTTACTCTCCATCTCGTGACTTTGGGATCAGTCTATAAGAAATCCGACACATACCACTTAACACCACCATAAATGAATTCTACATTCAAATATAAAGCAAGCTGAGTTAGTTCTTAATATCTTCTTAATTGGAACCCTGGTGGCACAGTGGTAAAGAGCTTGGCTGCTAACCAAGAGGTCAGCAGTTCAAATCCACCAGCTGCTCCTTGGAAACCCTATGGGGTAGTTCTCCTCTGTGCTATAGTGTTGCTATGAGTCGAGCAAGGTGAGTTAGTTGCTAATATCTTTTTAATTAGTGTCACTGAATTGTATGTGTGAACAGTGTTAAATTGGCAGATGTTGTGTTATTTATAATTTTACCACAATAGAAAAAGGAAAATACAGAAAATGTTTACAGTATAACTAAAGAGATGTACGTGAAATACACGTAAGAACTTCTTAATTGAAATGGTCACTAACTACTACTGAGAAAGGATATCTTCAGAGGTTATACAACAGTTCTGAAATTCTTAGACGACAGAATACATTTTCCTTTTTTTTAAGCAGATGTATTGAGGGATAACTGCCATACAACAAAATGTATATATTTAAAGTACACAATTTGATAAATGCTGGCATATGTATATACTTGATGAAGTCCAGTTTATCAATTTGTTCTTTTATGGATTGCACTTTTGGTATCATTTCTAAAACATCCCTTCTTAACACAAGATCAAAAGATTTTCTCTTATGGTTTCCTCTGAAAATTTTATAGTTTGGGGTTTTACACTTAGGTTTATGATTTTGATCTGTATGCTCTGTTATGATCTATATTGTATATGGTGTGAGGTATGGTTTACCATTTATTTTTTGGCACATAGATACTGAATTTTTCTGGCAACATATGTTGAAAAGACTATCATTTCTCCACTGACTTGCTTTTGCGCCTTTGTAAAAAATCAGTTGTCCATATGTTGATGGATCTATTTCTGGACTCTGTTCTGTTCCATTGATCTATTTCTCTGTCTTGATGCCAACGACAGTTTATCAAGCAAATCCTAAAACGTACATAAAAGAAAAGGGCCAAAATGCCAAAACCAAATGTGAAGATAATCATTAAGGAAAAACTAGCCCTGCTGGGTATCAGTTGAAAATGACTGATTGTGACTTTTAGCGGAGCTTGAATATGCACGTAAGTACAGTCAATGCTAATAAACTCTGAATTATTACTATAATACAGCCTTATTATTATTTTCCTACAGGCTGGAGAAATTCTACCTACATATATAGATTTTTCAAATGTAAAATAAAAATATTATCTGAAACATTGTCAAATCAAGAAATACATTTGAAATACTTGGAATGATAAAGTCACTCAAATGTCCCAGTCCTACCAAAGAAAAGAAAGAAGAAAACATTTGTTGCATATTTGCCATGTATAGGTTAAACAGTCAACTGGGCATGTTTCCTACTTGTTTATAAAAATTCAATCTTCCTATAACCCTATTATGTAATAATATCATCACACTGTAATTCACATTTTATACATGAGGAAATTAAGGCTCAGTTATCTCTCTGAAGATTTGTTTTTCTCTTATAAATGTAAATTTTGCATTTATTATGTTATACCTATTTAATCAAAGAATGTTTTAAAGTATTTATCATAGAGTAAAATTTATACCCCAAGAAAATACATTCAGATCTACTCAGTGGTCTCATTACCCCTTGGGTACATACACCGTCATTTGAACAGTGTGGTGCCGTACCATGCATAATTGTTGACGTTTGGATAGCGCCATACAGTTTGCAAAGTGCTTTCATATAGATCCTGGAAGATGGAAGAGAAAGGAAACATTCATAGAGCACCTGCTTATCTCTGAAATAGGCATGATAATTCCTACTTTCCAGGCTTGCTTTGAGAATAGAGGGTGTAAAGTACTCAACAAAATGTGCTTGACACACACTAGATGCCATTTATTATAATCTCCGAATTATTACCGGTTGAATTAATCATCTGAGGTGAAATTACTTACCCCAGGCCACACATTGGTAAATGGAAATAGCAAGGCCTGAACTCAGAGTCTTCTGAATCCAGGAATCCACGTCCTCTGCTCTTTCTGTTGCCAACTGCTTCCTTATAGTTCAGAGAGTATGGTACGATTACCTGCTTAATTAAAAAAAAAAAAAAGAAAACAAAAAAGGCTGGTATTACTGGCTGTGATTTGAAAGGAGAAATCTAAGGCAAAGCCACTCCAATGTTTAGAGTGTTAGAGATGAAGGTTGACCAGCCACGCAGACTGCGAGGTAGTGGCCAGTTAGGTAAGAAGAGAAACAGGAAAAGTAGTGCCCTGGAAGCTTACAGAAGATAATTCTTAAAGCTAAGAAAAGGATCAACTGTGTCACATGATTCTGATATGTCAGGTAAGATGCAGACTTCGGAAATGGCATAAAATTAGCAATGTGGAGTCATTGGTGACATTGACAAAGGCAATGTTGATGTTGGGATGGGGAAGAAAGTCTAAATCAAGTGAGTGGAGAGAAAAGGGAGAATGCAAGTAAAAACAACTCTTTTGAGGAGTTTTGCTGTAAATGGGCCAGAAAAATGTGGTGGAAGCTGGAGGGAGAAGTGGGGTTAAGGGAGATACTTTTTGTTTTGGTTTTATTTGTTTGCTTGCTTTTCTAAGATGGCAGTTAGCAGCTGCCTTCATGCTGATGAAAATGACCCAACAGAGAAGGAAAATTTGGCGAGGCAGAAGAAAGAAGAATTGCTTAAGGGAGTAATACCTTTACAGTTATGCTTCTTTGAAACACAACTTGTGAAACAAAAGAAGCCTACCCAATATTTCCCATGTGTGGCATCTACAATAAAGAAATGGTGCTGTCTTCCCCACTCCATTATTTATCAGTCTGCCAAGGATTTCACACTTGAATTTCTATTCCCTATGTTAACCTGATGCCTAGGACCAACAGCTATATAGTTAGACAGGCACAGACTCAAATCCTGGCTCTGCCATTTATAAGCTGTGTGACATCTGGAAAATTACAATCTTCACAAAGTGCTCATGTCCTCAACTGTAAAATGGGGAAAATGCTATCATCCACATTGAAGAATCACTGTTAGAATAAAATAAGCCCATGCAAGTAAGTCTAATACTTGTCACAGAGCTTTGCGTGGAGTAGTCATCCAATCAAAGTTAGCTATGAGTATAAAAATTGATAGAAGTAGTTATAGAGTAGCAACATTTTGTACCAAATAACAGTTCTACCTGGGATGGGAGGTGGTGACTTGGATTTGAGACTGACAAGAGAAGGAGAGTGGATATCTTTTTTTTTTTTTTTTTTTTTTTGTCTTTCTGTTTTACCAAATGATAGAGACTGTAAGAGGCATAAGAGGAAGGTAGAGGCACAAAGGGGGAATGGAGAAACTTTACCAGCTAAGAAGGGGAGCGCTGGACAATGGATGATAAAGAAACAGAATGATCTTGAAATCATACCACAGCAGCACATTAAGGCTAGACTAGAGGCTCGGGATCAGGAAGATGAGGCCCTGCTCTGTGTGAGGAGAAGCATTCTTTATTGGACGGTGTTACGTGACAGCTTAAGTCAAGTAAGCTGGGATACTGCTCTGGAAGGAACTTTAGGTGACCATGCCGGGGGACTTTAGCAGAGAAGTCAGTCTTACAAAGCAGCTGGTAGGGAAACCACAAGGGAGGAAAAAGCCTAAGAACTAAACAGGCTCAGAGACACCAGTGGACTTGTCTTAAAGTAATAGTAAAATAGAAGTTACCGTATTATTTCAGAGATAATGCCTGTTTCCTCAGGTTTAAATCTTCGGGACGGTGAAGAGCGTGGCTGGGTCTTTCCTCTGCCTTCTTACTCTGTGTGGAAACCATTCAGTTGCTTTTCTCTAACCCAGCTCTAAGATGGTGCTTAGCTCCTGACCACGCATCTGCTGCCAGCTGCCTTTCAGGGAGATTAAAATAGCAGGGTTGCTCAGGGGTGCAGACCTGAATCACCTGAGTGACTCTTAAAAGTCCACAGATTCTGGCACATTCAAAAAGCCTCACGTATACTTCTGATAAACGTCTTCCTTTACCCCCAGGCCCAATTGAGAATCACAGACCAAGCGCCAGGAGAAGGGGCCTCCCACCTTGTGACAAATCAAGCTGTTATTGGCTGTGATTGGCTGTTTTTCCTCTCACAGCCACAGAAGAAAATTCTTGTAGTGCTTGTAGCTGATTCATGCACATAGTAACACTGATTCATTCAAGAAGGAAGTGACTAAGGAGCTATAAAGAATGACTGTAGACGACTTACTGATACACTTTGTAATGAAGGGACTTCAGTGATTTAACATCTTTCTGGTATTAACAGATGCAATGATCTTGCAGGAGGAAAAAAGAAAAAACAGTTGCTATCTAGTTGACTCCAACTCATGGCAACCCCATGCGTGTCATATTAGGACTGTGCTCCATAGGGTTTTCAATGGCTGAATTTTCAGAAGTAGATCAACCTTCTTCCAGGGCACCTCCGGGTGGACTCGAGCCTCCAACCTTTCAGTTAGCAGCCAAGCAGGTTAATGTTTGCACCACTAAGGGATGTGCTAATCTCAGAGGGCATCTCTTCCTCTCCTAGACTCCTAGTCCCAAATTCAGAGCTCGAGAATTTGATTGTCTACAATTTACTCCAGCATCTCCTTCCTTGTTCATTGATTTGACAATTATTTATTGAACACTTAATGTGATGTGTTAAACTCTGAGAATATAAAAATTAATAACACAAGATTTCATATGTTGAATGGCTCTGCCAAGTCATCGAAATAAACATGTAATTTAATAACTACGACACAGTGTGATAAGTGTTATAATTAAAGTATGGTCAAGATGCCATGGAAACAGAGAGAAAAACACCTAACTAAACTGAGATAACCGGCCAAGAGACAAAGTACCTCCCTTCATCTCCTGTTGCTTGATTCATTCCCACACACCCTGCAGATGTCTGCTCAAACATCACCTTATCAGTGGAGTGTCTCTGTGAGGACCAGCTACACTCCAATCCCCTTCCTTCACCCCGAACAGCAGATGATTATCCATCCTCCAGCTTTATTTTCTCAAAAAATTTAATTGAGTTCCGGCAAAATGGTGCTCTAGGCAGAAGCACCATGCCGTCCCTCCACAGCAAAGATCTGAAAAACTAAGCCAAACAGAGAATACAACAATCCTGAAACCCTAAAACATCAAATGAAGAGATAAAGAACTCAGCCAAGCACCAAATGGAGTGAGAAAACTAACAGAGAACAGAGAGGGAGGAGAGATTCATGCAGAGGTCCCCTACTACCTAACGCAGCATGGATCCACCATCTTGGACTCCTGTCAGAGACCAGAAAACGGGGGTACAAGAAAGAAGCCTCAGGGAGCGTCCAGCGGGAGACAAAACAACCGGTAATTTGCGGTGTGCACTATCCCACCCCCGAGCCCTCTTCGCCCTGGCTCGGCCTCCTCTCCTTCCCGCGGCCACAATCTCTTGACTGGGAAGCACCAGCTGCTTGGATTCCACACACCCAAGTGGGCGGCTCTCTGGGTGCCATTTGTTGGCTGCTAGTGTTGCTTTTTTTTTTCCTGCTTCTTTTGATTTCTCACTTGCCTCTCACCACCTCCCCCTCCTTTCACTCGAGTGCCTGGCTCCGTGCGCCATCTTTGCTTCTTCCTGAGGGTCTGCAGAGAGCCAGCAATTTGTGATATATGCTTTCCCACTCTCTACTCTTCTTCACCCACACTCAGCCTCCTCTGCTTCCCACGAATACAGTCTCTTGTCCAGAAACAGCAGCCCACACTAGCTGGCTTCCTGAGTGCCATTTGTTGGCTGATGGTGTTGCTTTTTTTTTTTTTTTTTTTTTCTGCTTCTTTTGATTTCTTGCTTGCCTCTCGCTGCCTCCCCCTCCTTTCTCTCAAGTGCCTGGCTCTGTGCGCCATCTTTCCTTTTTCCTGAGGGGCTGCGGAGCTCCATACGAGTGTGGAGCTGATTCCCGGTCTGGGCTACT